ACCTCTCTTTAGTCTGTACTTATTGTTATTTACTCTATATGGAGCCTACTTGGCTTCCCCTTGGGAAGCTCCCAGAAACCAGAAGCTTCCAAGTGCAGCAACAACCACCTTCTGCAGAGTGACTTCGGTGCCTGCGTTTCTCTTTCCTCTTCTCATCTTTCCTATGGTGGGTTTTTTCTTTCCGGGACATTTGCTGGGGTGGTTTTATGGCCAAGGAATCATCTTCTTCTCCCCTAAAACACAGCACACGAACAAACTCAGGGAGGTGACAGGTACTGTCAGACTGTGAGTTATTTCCTCTTTTCCCCATTTGGAAAAGATCCCTGGTTTTATTATTTTATGTTCAAGTTGATTTCCATAATAGCCCCGAACCAAAACTGGAACACAACACGCTGTTAAGCCTTAACCACTGCTTTAAAAAGTTACCCTGGAGTTGGCCCATCTGCACGCTAAAAAATTAGAATTTTCCCTTCAGATATTTTAAATCCTCTTCCTAAAAGTTCACTTCAGTAACTCCTTCCGAGGTAACAAGGTGATTTTCTCATTCTTACCTGTCTTCCATGGAGTCCTCCCTCCTGTAAGGTGAGTTTCTGATGGTTATTTCCATGCGATGGTCTCTCAGCTCCCCCTCTTCAAGAGAATCCCGCTTGGAATCCCTGTCATCTGACTGATGGGAACACAGGGAAGGGAAAAAGGCAATTAATCTTTGTGTCACAGAATGAAAACAAATTTAAATATTACCTAAGTCTTCCACTGCTGGCTCAAAATCCATCCCCAACTGGTTGCCCCCACTCATCTATAAACCACATCCATACTGTAACCAGGCAAATGCAGTTGGACTGCAATTAAAGCTGAACTTGCATTAACTATTTTGTGGGCTTTTTTTCCCAGAAGAATTATTTTCTACATAGTTGTACAAATAGTAACATAAAAGTTACTCAAATTCATTTTAATCCCATCCTTCTATACTTTTCTATACTCTTCTGTTCTCTGAAAGGCTGTTCCTTGAACTGCAACTTCCAGTTAATCACATCAATTTATTTACCTTTTCTGACCAAAAACTACAAACAAAGCAGAGTATAAAATGTAAAGCCAATGAAAATACATTTTTCCATTAATACAGGCACAGGTTCTTACATTTTTCATACGTTTTATCTCTGCCTTCTCCTCTTGCTCCTTCCTTCGCTTCTTCTCCTGGAGAATTTCATCTAAAGTTTTCACTTTCCAAGAATCCTTTTCATCACCCATTTGAGTTAAAAAAACAAAGTCTGAAAAAGAAGGAGACGTCAGCAAAACCCACACAAACCACGCAGCCCAGCACAGATAAATCTATTTTACACCAATTCTTTTTTTTTTTCAGTGCAAACACTCGATGTTCCATCTTTGAGCAAAGCCAAGTGGGGGTTGACTTGCGCTGAACCAAAAATGTCTGTTTTAAATCCAGAAAGTTTAAACCCAGAAGAAGGAACACAGAGTTGTTGGAGAGCACAAAAAACGTGGTTTGTGGCCATGGTTTGGTGTCATGTTCTTCAGCGATCTCAGACCCGGGGCAGGGGGGGATTAACAAAGTTTGGGATTAAAGGATGTGCCAGTGGACACAAAGAATTTATGGGAGAGAACTGCCAAGATAAGGAAAAAACTAACAAACCCAACTCAGCAGCTGTGCTGAAATCAGCTCTGAGGGGGTAAAAGGTAGTAAAAATAACAAGTAATTCTAATTTGGCAGGGGGAAAAGCAACCACTAAGTCAGGGACTACCGAGCCGAGAAACCCACCGACCCAAACCAGAGACTGAACATGGCAATAATTAACACGAGAAGGGAGAGAATCGTCAAGCAGCACAAGAGAGAACACTAATTTACAAGAGAACTGTGCGACTCATGGCAAATAAACGCTAATTCCTTTGGTTGCTACGATGCCTAAACAGCACAAGTTGTGGTAGTTGTGGGGCTCGGTTTATGGAACAGCACCGGGATCGGAAATAAATAATCAACGTGCCAATCGAGCTTGTCATTACTGGCCTGTCTTAGAGCGGGGAATGGACCCGATTTTTGCGTTAAACGCCTCAGAATAAACAAACCCCCGGGGGGTTCAGGGCCGGGGCCGGGGGGGTCCAACAGGCCCTCACGGAGCGGTGTCACCCGCTGCCCGCTCCCCCTCAGCCCCCTCGGTGCTCCCGGTCCCCCTCAGCCCCACAGGACCCCCCAGACCTCCCCGTGTCCCCCCGTGTCCCCCCATGTCCCCTCAGGGTCCCCTCAGGGCCCCCCGGCCCCACTCACCGCCGCCTCCACCGGGCACTGCGACCAGCGCGGCTCTAACGCGTCACTTCCGTGCCGGGCGCGGCGATGACGCCCGGGAAGTAATTAACTAAAAAAAAAAATAAATTAAAAAATCTCTAATGAGCCGTTAATTGAGCGGTTCCTTCAGCGGCAGCGCGGTGATTAACCGCCCGGCTCTGCCCGTGGGTACTGACCCGGCACACAGAGGCGGGAGTGCAGGCGCCGTCACCGCAGGCGTCCGTTAATTACCCGTAAAAACAGGTTAAATTTCGCCGTCCGGTCGAATAAAGAGCGATTTCAAACAAGTCACATGAGGGGAACGGCCAGCACAACAATGTCGATGCAGCGTGAGGGAGAAGCGACGTGAACTGAGCGCAAACGCAGCGGTTCTAAATAGGGGAGTTCATGAGGGGGAGCCACAGGAACGGGCTGAAGGCAGCGCAGGGAAACTCATTATGTGCCACCGCTTAATTATGAATCCCTCGCTTCGGCTGGGAAACGGTGACATTTGGGACACAGTTACACCTTAGTTACGTTTAAATTTAAATTCACGTTTAAAGGAATTCACATTCAAGGTGGCTGTTCCTCTGTGTTTGACAGGTGTAAAGCAAATAACCCTCGTCCTCATCGCGGCCTGGGTGTGGCCGCGAGAAACGGAATGAAGGAAACCCTAAAAAACATCCCGAAAGAGGATTTTTTCCGGCAGAAACGGAACTGCTGCTATCACAAACTGGGGTGCGACACTCGCCCTGGATTCTTAACAAAGAGAGAAAAAAATGCTCCTTGTTTACACAGCCAGCAAAGGAGATTTAGTGGTATGACTGTGGAGGAAGGAAAGGCCTTAAAAGCGGGCAGTCGAGGGTTTGTTTAATCTAATAAAAACAGAGGGCAAGGAGAGGGCAGAGAAAAGCACCCAAGGTCAACAAAGCCCAAGAACAGGACTGTTGTGCTGCCACTCAGGCGTTAAAATGACAAGTTCCAAAATCCTCCCAGGGCTGGGTTTGGGTCACTCAAAAGATTTTTAAGCACTAGGAAAAGCTGAGGTTTAAAATGAAGCTCAAGCAGGTGGTGGTGGTATTTACGGAACAGAGCTGGGATTTCTGCCTGCAAAAGTAGAAATACGATACAAACCACACTTTTTTTTTTTTTGGTAGTTATACTTTCAAAAATCTCAGTGTATTTGGCAGAAAACAAACAAACAAACAAAAAACCCCACAGAGCTCCATGCCACAGTCCACAGCTTTTATAAAAGTGACAAGAGTACAAAAGAAACAAAATACCACAGACACATCACATACAGAATGAGGAAAAACTGGCATTTTTAGGGGAATATGCCCCAGGCAACCAGTCAGGTGTGGGAATGCAAACTGAAGTGAGCATTGGCACCAAAGAAGCACAAACTACTGAAACAGGGACAGCTGCTCCAGAGAGGCTCTTGGA